CTCTCTCTCTCTCTCTCTCTCTCTCTCTCTCTCTCAGCTGCTTGCAGTGGATACCACGTGGCTACACTGCGCCTTGCATTAAACATTAACCGGAAACCCGTCCATATAGACTATAGCGGGTCCCGGTGCGGGCTATGGCGACGTTCAGTCCGAGCCACAGAGTTCCAGACCAGGCCTCCGGAAGAGTTGCGCAACTGTTCCGGATCGAGCCGCCCTCCGGAAGTGTTCAGCGATCGTTCCGGATCGGACCGCCCTCCGGAAGTGTTCGGCGACCGTTCCGGATCAGGCCGCCCTCCGGAAGTGTTCGGCGACCGTTCCGGATCAGGCCGCCCTCCGGAAGTGATCGGCGACCGTTCCTGATCGGGCCGCCCTCCGGAAGTGATCGGCGACCGTTCCGGATCAGGCTGCCCTCCGGAAGTGTTCAGCGACCGTTCCGGATCGGGCCGCGCTCCGGAAGTGTTCAGCGACCGTTCCGGATCGGGCCGCCCTTTCGGAAGTGCTCACATGGGAGGTCCCCGCGAGTGTTCCGCCCCCCGACCTGGAGGTTGGCCTCAGAGACGCGGCCTCCTCCTCCTGGAGGTATGGATAGAACGCCGGTGGTATGTCTGCCTGCTGCCGCCTTTTGTTTTCGCCGCGCCTTCCCCAGCGAGTCCATCACTCTCTCAGAAAGCGAAGACAGCATCAGCGTCCCTGTCCTTGTCGCACCGCGAGTCACTGTCGTCAGCGCGTGGGCGCGCGGCCCGTACGGCCTCGTCCAGGGGGAAACAAACCCAGCGTAGGACTCGGGGTACCATACCCGACCATACCCCTTATTTCCGTCGATTTACTTTTGCCGAGACTTTGACTTTCTACTACGTTCTTTTGACATTTCTATCTATGGTTTGTTTTCGATATTTTTAAAAATGATTAAGAATCCCTGTGTTTAAGATACCTTAGGCGGCGGCGTGTCCAGGATTACCCTCTCCAAACAGTTTGCTTTTTGCATACTTAGAGGATATCGGGGTTTGACTTCCTTTCTCCTTTTTCTGCGCCAACTTCTCATTGACTTTCATCGATTTTTTTAAAAATATATAATTTGACTTCATCTTGACTGTTTTCTTGATCTTGACTTTTAAAATCACGTCACCAACTTTTAAAAAAGATATGTATCGCTCGCCATAAACTTCGGTGTATTTCATTCTAAACGTCGATGAACTTGGAGGTGAAAGAGGGCCGATGAACTTCGGGCGCGAAACTTGCGGGCGAACAGCTTTTGGACCAGGAGCACGTCAGCTCGCTCTACACCCAGAAAAATAGTTTCTTGGGCCAAGTATATTTGTACTCGGGTTTGCACAAGTTCAATTTTCTCTTGAAACAAATGCAAAAATATCATTGAAATAAGATCACTCATATTCAAACAAGTCAATTGTTTTTATTCGAATAAAATTTTTGCATTGTTTCAAGTAAAAAATGAACTTGTGCAAACCCGAGTACAAATCTACTTGAAACAAGAGCAATTAACTTAAAACAAGAAACGATTTTTCTGGGTGTACGAGGGAGTCCGGGCACGCGGCCGCGGCCCCCTCCACGGCCTCCACGACGCCGCGGGCGGGCCCGGCCCGGGAGGATTCCTCCTCTCGCTGGCAATGCGACGACCGCGACGACGACCCATTCTTCTCGAGGGGGCACAGAGAAAATGAGCGGTATCTGCCACCTCCCCGTCGGTGATACCCATATGAGAGAGAGAGAGAGAGAGAGAGAGAGAGAGAGAGAGAGAGACACGGCAATCGGTGAGAGTGCTTTTTGAACGGCCGTCGGTGTGGTACTGTCATGGGGCAGCAGAAATGCCCATCTTCTTCCCCCGCTCCTCCCCGCTGGCGCCCGCCCGCCTGGGAACACCACCACCTCCACCGCCGGCGTCCTGGTGCTGCAGGAGGCGCGCTTGTCCGTGCCCTTAGCCTTGATTGGGGGGCGTGGGATGGACTCCCACAGTGAACCGCACACGCGCCCACTCAGTGTGCAGTGTGGCGCTGCTGGGGTGGCTCGCCTAGTGTAGCAATGTCACTAACTTTTAAACGACACAGGCGGGAGAAAAAAGCGACCAAGTACTGTTAGTAATTTGCTTTTATTTGACTTTCATTTGTCTTAGACACAAAAGGCTCACTGATTTGCTTAAAAAGGTGAAAACAATGCACTTTTTTTTGAGGAGGGTGTGGTATGGTGTAATAGGGCAGTTCCAGACATGGGTGTCCGTCAGTGACGGATTTGTGAGCGACCGAGAGGTGCTACGTATTGTTGCAGTACGTCCCTAGAAGAAGCGTCTTGCAAAGACGCGTCTAGTCACGTGCTTCAACAACCCGTAGCACCCCTCAGTCGCTCACAAAAGCCGTCACTGACGGACATTTTTTACCATTTTTTCTGGAACTGCCCAAGAGTGTTATAGTGCCTGCTTCCCACAGTATTTGCAAGGAGCGGCGGGTTCTTGAAGTATAAGAGCGGAAGTACAAGTTAAGGCGGTAGGAATCAGTGCAGGGAAAATGAAAAATAAAAAAACGGTGTGGATAGGCGTGTATAAACTTTGGCAAGCGCGTGGTGGACCGGCACCCGACGCTACCCTGGCAAAAATTCGCATACTTGACAGGAAAAGTCGCCATCTGTAAACTTTCACTACTATATTTCTGGCAGTGCGACGCGCGGGTGAACGACCCCGGCGGGGAGACCTGCACGCAGGGGCGAGGCCGCGGCGGAGGCCGCGGAAGAGGCACCGACGACGACGTGAGGTGTTTCCCGTCCCGATGAGCGCTCAAAGAGTTTCCGATCAGAGTTCTCTGATTTACGTTTTCCGACCATCCCGTCCTGGCGTCTTCGTGCTGAGGACTATACGTACACAGCATTTTATTTAGCCCTTTTAAAAATACTTTTTTTCCAACAGATTTTTATTCAAATAATTTTTTTGGTGTAGATTTTTTTAAAAGACTTTACTTAAAAAGACTTTAAATATTTTTTCAACATTGAAGTGTTTTTTTATATGTAAAAAAACGTGTTTTTTTTACAAAAATGATCAGGGAAGTCACAGTAGTGTAATATGGCGTCATCGCGAGCGAACGTTGTCCACGTCCACGTGCATGAGAAGTGCGCCGTGGTTGGCGGTCGCGCGCCGTCGTCGTGTCGAGCAAAGAGGAGCGAAGCGAAACCGCGACAACTGGCTGCTCGCTTGTCCCATTAGAAGCCCGCGAATAGTCAAGTCGAGTGCGAGTCAACGCGACGTCACAGAAAGTCACGCCCCCTCGAAGCTATCCGGGCTCAGACAAAAGAACGGGGCGGGGCGGGACGGGACGGCCAAGGAGACGGACCACGCAGTGCCACGGGCGCGCGCGCAACTTTGGCACCACAACTATTAGGGTGCGGACACACCCAGAGAAATCGCTGCCCAAAGGTCAGGAGTACAGTACTTGATCGATCGAACCCTATGTGTAGGAGTGTGTAGTACACGGTAAAAATAGCTCCACGATATCCAAGGGCCAAGACACCGATTCAAGGACGGGGGTAGCGAAATAAAAAAAAAAAACGCATGGGGCGTCCTTAAATCGGTGTCTTGGTCCTTGAACAACATCAAGGAACTGTACTTACCGTGTAATTGCACACCACCAGGTGGCTGGGTAACGATTATTACACCCGTGCTCTTTCTGTAGCTGTAGCAGGTGTAACTGTGAATACACAGCAGTGTTGCGGGATTGCATACTCAATATGGCCGCAGGGGCCATGGCCCCTTACGGGTATAAAGAGTAGTCTAACCCGCAACACTGCTGCGTATTCACAGTTACACCCGGTACTGTACCGCACAGGTACTCCGTGCAACAAGTGCACGTTTGTTGCCTACTCGTTCGGCCCGCAAGGCACCGCCGTGCGTAGTGAGAGGCAACCCCGGTCGCACTCCTGCGTACGGTACAGTAGTACAACCACAACTGACGAGTAAAGACTCCGTGCTACGTGTTTTGTACAACTTGTATAACACAGAGATGGCATTTGCTTAGATCTCGCCTCAGATTCAAATGAGACTCGAAGTGCCATATAGCAAGAATGGGTCCAACGACTTACCCAAGTATCAACCGATTGGTTGGATTCTGGGGTCCTTTTTTTTTCTAGGCGTAACCTTCGCGCCTCGACACTGGACTCGGCGCAACAAAACCAGGTGAGAGGTAAAGTCTCCAGACAAAACTCTCGCTCTGAGCCTTAAGGGCGTCACACCACGGCAGTGGGACAAACCGGCTCTCTTTTCAAGGCTTGCTTCATATATTTTGAGACAGTCCCATGCCTTTACTATAAAAGATTGTTTTTTTTTTTTAATTCCTATTTTGTTTTTAAATTTGGAAGTTTCCTTAGGGTGGAGGTCTGTCGGTCGGTTGATTTGATAGGGGCCGCCGGTAGGAGTAATGCACAGGATGTCACTGACGTGAGGTGAGGGGGTGGAGCTTACGTTAGCGCCGTTGTGAGGCTGGTCCTGGTCAAAACTGGCGCCGAGTGAAGGGCCCTCCTCAGAGGGGCTAGCCCAGGCTAGCCCGGCCCGCGCCCTTCACGGGCCGACCCGCAGCAGCGCATGTGTGGTGTAGCCGTATACTACACTGGACGGACACGACAATATTCCCGGCCACTGGCGACGGGGAAAGTGAGTTGGCGAGTCGCCAAGGGGGGGACCGCGAGGGAGCGGCCACGGGGGG